ACATTTAAAATGTGGGTAGAAAATTTTAAGATACATTTTCAATAAACGGCAAAATCTGCTTAATTATTATGATTTAAAATTTTAAAACAATTAGAGCATTATTCATATTCCAACTGACAGTTCTTGTTTATTTTGCCCTGCCCCTCAATTTTTATTTTGACCTAGTGTATGTATTTTTATGATTTTTCATGACTCACTTTTTTTTTTCATAAAAAGGGTTTCAAAATGCACAGGACAACTGCATATATCACTTTGCTCTGATTTAAAGAATTGTTTTGTTATATCTTTCAGCATGTGAAGCAAGGGTGAAAATCTGAAGCCATCATGATTCAATATTTCAAACCTAGTTTGGTCACTCTGCAGAATTCACAATGGCATCTTTCAGCAAGATTTCCAATTTGCTTTGCTACCATTGGACAAGAAAAAGCGCGGATATAGACAGCTCATACAGAAAATTGCTGGTTTATACACAACGGTAACGCGACAGATTTTTGAACAGGGTTTTGTATAGTAAACTCTAGTTGAGGCTTTAATATAAATTACAGAAAAAAAAAACTGATTTGAAGACTGTAAAGCATTTAGGTACTGCTGGAATTTGAAGTATGTGCATCAGTAAGGCTTAAGACGAACAATATTATGTGAAGGGGTATGCAAGTCATCGAGACCCTAGGGATTAATATCCCTACCCCATGATGCATAGTTGATGTTTTTAATTAAAGAAATCATGGTTTGTATATCTTTAACTCGGTGTATTTTGTATGTCTGCAGGAGTTGTTTAAGCCATTATTATTTTTCCATCCAGTAGCCACTCCAGCTCGAAATCTAATGCATCAATCATTCAATACTGCTTGTGCATGCAAACACTATTGTGGCAGTGGAACCAATGGATGTCAACAACCAGCTAACCCATCAATAACAATTTACTAAGCAACCATTGCTTGCATTAACATTAACAAACAGTATATACTGTATTTACAAAAATAAGAAATTTATATGAATACTGTATGTTATAAATCATTATCTATAGCTTTCTTATAAGAATAACAACTAAAGCATTCACAGAGGATTCCTGCAAGACACCTATACGATTCCTTTAGGAAATCTATAGGATAATAAAGATAATACTTATAGGATTCCTATATAATTCTTATAAGACACCCATACGAATCCTATGGAAACCATATAGGATTCTTATACGATATCTATAGGGACCCTGTATTATTCATATAAGACTTCTATAAGATTCCTTTAGGAAATCTATAGGACTTCTTTAAGATATCTTTAGAATTACTAAAAGAGTTCTATAGGATTCTTATAAGACGCCTATATGATCCCAGAAAGAAATCTGTAAAATTCCTATAAAATATCTATAAGATTCCTAAAAATATCTACAGGAATCCTATATAATTCATATAAGACTCCTATAAGCTTTCTATAAGGTATCTATAACCTTCCTATATCATTCATATAAGACTCCTATAAGATTCCACTAAGATATCTATAAGATTCCCATAGGATTCCTATAAGATACCTATATAATTCATATAAGATTCCTATAAGGTTCCTTTAGAAAATCTATAAGATTCCTTTAGGCATTCTATGAGATTCCTATAGGATAACTATAAGATTCCTATTTGTTTCATATAAGAAAGATTCCTATTTGTTTCATTTAAAAATCTTGCAGTTTTCCTATAAGATTTCATTAAGAATCTTATAGGAAACATATTAAAATTCCTATAGGATACTTATACGACTCCTATATGAGTTCTATAGGATTCCCAAAGGATATCTATTGAAATAATCATATAGGATCTTATAGATGTGAAGAAAAATCTATAAGATTCCTATAGGATTTTCTCTTATAGGATCCTATAGGACATTTTTGTAAGGGTTTATTTAATGAAAGATTTGCTTCAAATTTTACTCTGCCAACCAGTGATGATAATCTACAGAATTTGTCTAATATTGCTCTTGAAATTCAAAATGAAATTGAATTTCAACCTTTTGAAATAGATGAAGTTTATTATGCTTTATCTAAGCTGGATGCTTCTAAGTCACCTGGGCCAGATTGTATTCTTCCATTGTTCTTAAAACAATGTAAGGAAGAACTTGCTAATGTTTTCTGTTATTTCTTTAATTTTTCTATAAACAAAGGCATTGTCCCTAAACAGTGGAAGGAGGCTAATGTAGTACCAGTCCACAAAAAACATGGGAAACCAAAAAGTGATTTAAAAAGTTACAGACCTGTGTCCCTAACACCAATAATAAGTAAAGTTATTGAAAAACTGCTATGTTATAAGATTAATGAATTCTTGGAAGTAAATAACATTATTTCTGATAACCAATTTGGTTTTAGGCAAATGTATAATACAGAATATCTCCTAACAAAGGCTTTTCACATCTGGTCTAAAAGTATTGATAATGGTTGTAAAAATATTGATGTTATATTTTTAGATTTTTCGTCAGCCTTTGACAAAGTTCCTCATAGCAGATTAATTTAAAAACTTAGCATGTATGGCATTACAGGTATTATCAATAGCTGGATAAAAAATTTCTTAACTAACAAAGGCAAAGAGTTATTTATAGAGGAGAGCAGTCAGAGTGGATTAATGTAACATATGGGGTCCCTAAATGTTCTGTGTTGGGACCGCTTCTCTTCCTAATTTATGTTAGTGACATTGTAAATGATATCTCATCATCAATATTTCAGTTTGCAGATGACCATACTCTCTCCCACCAAATCAATAATATTAGGGACTGTATTGCTCTTCAGCAAGATCTTGACAAGATATACAATTGGTCAGTTGTCAATAAATTACCTCTAAATGTATCTAAATGTGCTACTATGCATATAAGTAAAAGTAAGAACCCAATTAAATGGGATTATAAAATAGATAATATTTACTTAGAAAAAGTAAATGAATTTAAATTACTTTTAAATTTTTATAAATAATAAACTTTCATGCTATTTATGTTAAATATTTATACAAAACGTACTCTTATTAGTAATATGAAACGCGATGGCCAGCTTTACTTGTTCAGGAGACTTGAGCAGTTTAGCAAGAAACTAGTAAGTTGTGAAACATCTATTGAATTCCTTCAATTATGCCAAAACCTTGGACTTACTCCGACATTTGCAAAAGTGGATCAGGAAAAATCCAAGAAATGGAGTCGATCTACAAAAGATTTCGAAAGAAATATAGTAGCGGAAGAGTTAAAGACGAAGGTGAAACTCCTAACCAACCTCAGAGAAGATATAAATTCTATTTATACAGAAATCAGAAGCCAGTGTCCACTATTTCGCTATCTTGCAATTCTTCGGACAATTACCAAATTGCGTTGTAGTCAATATGAAACGGAAATGAATGGACACTCAAAGAAAATTTCAAAGCTGATGTATAATGGCAAAAATGTTGATGAACACATCACAAATATATCATCATACAGGTTATCATTCTTTCAGAAGTTAGCGCTTAGTCGTGGTTTACAGTTTGCTTATCCTCAGAGAGTTTCATCGAGAGAAATTCAAGCAAATTTTGAGAAAGCCTACTGGAAGTTAGAATCTAAAATCGAGAGTAATGAAACAAAAGAATTGACAGCTGCTACTCTCAAGTGTATTGCACTAAACTACATTGAAAGGAAAGGTCCATTTCCCCCCAGAGCTTTGAAAAGAACCCTTGGCCAACTGAAAAAGAGAGATGACATAATCATTACAAAACCAGATAAAGGATCAGGAGTAGTAGTAATGGACAAAAGTGAGTATGTTAGTTTGTTATGTAAAGCATCTGTCAATGATATCACCAAATTCATACCTATCTCACCTGAACAACCAAGGACAAGAGGAAGACCAATGACACATTACCACCCGCTTCTCAAAAAGGAGAAAGATATGAACGCAACTGTTCACCGAATCCTAGCAAAGGAAATCGCCAAGTCAGTCTGCCAAAGTGGTTCAAGATTAGCTCATTTGTATGGTTTACCAAAAACACACAAAGAGACGTTATCTATGAGACCTATCTTGTCAGCAACTGGGACATACAATTATAAACTAACGCAATGGTTAGATGAGAAGTTAAAACCACTCTCCCAGAACAAGTACACAATTGATAACGTGTTTAGCTTTGCTAGTGATATTCGCTCTACTGATATCAACGTCGATGACATATTAGTATCATATGATGTTTCCTCCTTATTTACTAATGTTCCATTGGATGAGACAATTCAAATTATTGCTGATAAAGCCTTCACTGACAACTGGTTTAATGTCACATATGGACTCAACTTAAGTAAACCGGACCTCATTACTCTTCTTAATATTGCAACTAAAGACCAGCTTTTTCAATTTCAAAGTAACTTGTATGAACAGATCGATGGAGTAGCAATGGGATCACCCTTAGGTCCACTTATGGCAAATGCATTCATGTGCAATATAGAGGAATGCCTTGAATCTAGCAATCAAATGCCGAAATATTACAAGCGATACGTTGATGATACTCTAGTATTTATGCCTAACACAGAATCTGCCATGCAATTTCTTGACTTGCTCAACAAAATTCATCCTGCCATAAACTTCACAATGGAAACTGCTGTGAACAATTCTATTCCTTTCCTAGGAATGCTAATTACTAAGTACTCTAACAAGTTACACACACGCATTAATAG